TGGGTGATGGATGTATCAGGGCTCATTGTATTATTGTTTACTTTGTTTAAAAATTCTAAAATAAGCTAAAAGACTAAAACCAAACTATTTTGTGTAATAAGATTCTGTGAAAATTAATAAACAGGGCTGGCCGAGTGGCATGTTGGTTAAGAGTTGGCTTGGGACACCAGCTCTGAGCAGCAGAGCCCCGGTTCAGATCCCACATGAGGGCCAGTGACACTGCCCTCCACAGCTAAGATGGTGAACAACAGCTCGACCTGGAGCTGGGCTGCTATGAGTCGCCCGTGAGGGCGTAGGCTGCAGTGAGGCTGGCCAGCAGCTGGCCTGAGCTTTCCTGAGCTGCCGTGAGCCGCCGTGAGTGGCCATCCAATGGCCAGCAAGCAACTGCCTCACCCGGGAAGAGCTCAATGATAATACCAACATGGGCCAATGAAGGGATATCTTCCACAACTAGACTGAAGAACAAAAGGACAGCAACTTGTCTGTTCCCCTCCCCCGATGCCTCAATAAAATCTTTTTTTAAAAAAGGAAAATGTATAAACAGAAACCTCATTTAAGTTGGAGTTGAGAGGGCCTGTAGGGGGAGCTCTCATGCCGTAACTCATCGTCAATTACCCCAACAAGGAATAGACTGCTTTCCATCTCCAACAGGAAGATGTTTTTCTACTCTACTGCTCTAGCAGGGAGGATCTTCTCTTTGCCTAGCAACCACTCAGCCAATGAAAGATTGTTACAACTCAGCCAATGAAAAGCCACTACACTTTGAACTCCTAGTTTCCTCTACTGGACTCTTTACAATAGCCCCTCTAAACTCCCTTTTCCTCTATAAAATAATGTTTTTCTCCTTTTTGCTCTGGATTTGTGTGTGGTGTGGTTTGCCATTAGACTGCATGTCCCAAATTGCAATTCTTTGTTGTTCCTGAATAAACTCATTTTGCTGGAGAAATATCTTGCGATTTGTTTCAGGTAAACAATTCCAATTCCTTTGGGTAAAAGTTTATCCTTTCTTTTGTTTTACAATGCTAATTATAAGGGCATGTGTATTTTGTGAAGGCTGCATTATGAACTGCACACTAACAAGGTCAGGTCATCTTAGCAACCCAGATTATAATTGGGGGCACAAAAATTTGGTGGTAGGAGGTGGGTAGTGAGAAAATCTTACAGTTTATTTTAACCTCTTAGTAATTATGTAAAAATTTATGAAACCCATCCAGCTGTTAGAGAAATTGGGACAGCAAGCATTACACAAAGATGGCTCAACTGCCACATTTCCTCTCAAGTCAGCTGATTTCCCTCCCCCTTCCTCCACCAGAGGGAAGCCAAGAAGGGACCATGGTGACCTGGACATTTACAGAGCACCTTCTACTTTAAGTAGTGTCCCCTGCTTTTTCCCTCAAAGACTCTAAGAGTATTTTGGGTAGGGGTGGGAATGTGGGAATTAAGTTAAAGAGTAAAGGAATTTGGAAGGTGGACACAGAGGTTATAGTACCATACTCCTATCACCTTAGGATCTATTTTTAAATGTGGAAGTACATAAGTCTTCTCACTGATGCCAGTGAACTTTCTTCGAGAACAGAAGCAATAACCTGCTAGTAAGAATGTGTAGAATAATGTGGAGATTTTGGAAAGCACAGGATATATTCTGGGACTAGTAATAGTGCAGATGGCCTGGATACATGAAGTATGTTTAAGGGAATAACTGTTGACAAGGCTAAAGAGTATAGGGAGACTTGTGCCTCTTAGTAGGTACCCATCATCTCATTAGGAGAAAAATCATCCCAAAAGCTTAAGCATGAGGTTTTGGTTAATAAAGTTTGGTGTAAAAACAAACAAACAAACAAAAACAAAAACTTTCTTATAAAATGAAAAGATGTTCTTACAAAATAAATCCTTTTGCAGAATGAATTACAGGAACACAGTTCATTCATATAACATTTGAGTTACCTTTTTATAATAATAATAATATAAAAGAGCAGAAGCACCTTGCAGTTGCATAGCATTTTAGACGTGTCAAATAGCAATAACATTCACTGACTACCTAATACAGGCATACCTGGTTTTATTGTGCTTCACTTTATTGCACAGATTTTTCTTTTTTACAAACTGAATGCAAGGCCGTCCACCAGCAAAGACTTGCTTTATTGCAGTGGTCTGGAACCAAACCTGCAATACCTCCAAGGTATGCCTCTATATACACTAGAAGACTACTAGGTGTGTTAGAAGAATTACCTCATTCGATCCTCACAGCAACTTTAGAAGCTAGGTGCTATTAATAGCCACATTTTATGGATGAGGAACCTGAGACACAGAAAGGTTAAATAAACAAGGTTACAGAGCTAGTGGGGCGCAGAGCTAGGATTTGAGACCAGGCAGTCTAGCTCCAGTGTCTGTGCTGCACTATGCTGCCTCTCAAAACTGACATAGTCTATTAGTTTTCTGTGGCTGCTGAAACAAATTATCACAAGCTTAGTGGCTTAAACAACACAGATTTATTATCTCATAGTTCTGTAGGTCAGGAGTCCTAAAATTAATGCATTGGCAGAGCTGTGCTCCTTTCTGAAGGCTCTAGGGAAAATTCGCCTTTTCCAGCTGCTAGATGCCACCTACATTCCCTGGCTCACAGCCCCATCGTCCATCTTCAAAACCAGGATCTGACTTCTTCTGTTACATTTCTCCTTGAACACTGCCAGGAAAGGTTTTCCACTTTTAAGGACTGTGATTAGATTGGACCCACCTGGGTCATCTCCCCATCTCAAGTTTCTTAATCACATCTGAAAGTCCCCTTTGTCATGTAAATAGTCACAGGTTCCCAGGATTGAGACATGGACATCTTCTGGGGACCATTATTCTTTCTACCACACATGGTTTCTCCAAAAGTTCTCACATGTATCGACTCATTTGATATCAACATGGTGGAACAGAAAGTACACATATTAACCCCATTTTCCATACAGAGACAAACAGAAAGATTGTTTTTCCCCAAGGCCATACAGCTAATATTAGGGGCCTTTACAAATGGATCTCAACCTACCTCTTCAGCTTCACTTCATACAACTGCCCTCCACCTAATCTCTAGTCAGGGTGAACTTTTTTTCCCTCTCAAAAATGTCATACCCTTTCATAGCTGTCTGCGGATGTGTTGTCATACCCTCTGGGAGAGAGTCCCCACCACCTTGACTTTGTTAAATTTTACTCATCTTTTAATGTCCAACAATGTTCTCTGCCAGGTCTTCCAAGATCACACAAGCAGCCAGTGGAAGAGTTTTCACTGCACTTTGTCATATCCCTCCTACACACTGGACACACATAGCATGTGTGAACACAGGGTGTTCAGTTGGGAATGAGTCTAACTGCCTAGTTTTGATGGAGATGCTAATATGGCAGAAATCAGGAGACTGAAGTCAGAATAACACAAACACACCTTTCTATAGAGAATCTGATAATCTATTGCATAACTCCTGGACTCCTCAGCCAGACCAGAGTTACAAAATGGAGCCAGAGAGAAAACTTCTGTGATGAGAGTAAGGGCTGCTATAATAAAAATACCATAGGCTGGGTGGCTTATAAAGAACAGAAATTTACTTCTCACAGTTGTGGAGGCTGGAAGTCCAAGATCAAAGAGGCAACAAAGTTGGGTTCAGTGAGGGTCGTCTTCTGGGTTGCGGATGGCCATTCTGTCAATCTCTGGGGTCTTTTTTTAAAGGCATTAATCCTGTTCGTGAGGGCTCCACTCTCATGACCTAATTACCTTCCAAAGGCCCCATCTCTTAACACCATCACATTCAGGGTTAGGATTTCAACATATGAATTTTGAGGGGACACAAACATTCAGTCCATAACAACTTGCATCAGCAAAAACTTTATCAACAGTCTCAACTCAGCATTTGCAATGGCCAAACCTTGGTAAAAAACAAAAGCAAAAAATTCAAATTTGACTTAGTCTTCTTCCCACCCTCAGGGAAGGAATTCTAGGCAGGAAGGACAATGTATGCAAAGGAAAGAAGATATCAGTGTTAGAAAAGATTATACTCACTCATATGAGATGGTGTTATGTATTTTTTAGCTTCAAATCTGGGCAACAGGTAAGACTTCTTAAGGTTCTTTGATCTTGAATTCTATGCTGATGTGTTGAGAATTCTGTCATGCAATAAGGTGTTTTGCCATGTATAATTCCAAATATGAATAGCTAAGCAAGATCAGAAGACTTGGAAAATTTGCAAAAATCAAACAAAAATATACCACACAGGAATGAAGATATGTGATACTTATATTAATTTTTGCAACAATCCAAAAGTGAAGACATCAAAAGATTTCTGTGAGCATCCACTGTTACTTTTCATTGTTATACTAAAATCCCATTTTACTCTCTTACTTCATTGCTAATAAGGTAATTTATAAGAAGAAATGCCATTTAAAATAACGATGGAGGGCCGGCCGAGTGTCACACTGGTTAAGAGCTGGCTTGGGACGCCAGAGGGCCCCGGTTTGGATCCCACATATGAGGGCCAGTGACACTGCATCCTCTACAGCTAAGATGCTGAACAACAGCTCAACCTGGAGCTTGGCTGCAGTGAGTCGCTGGCAAGGGCGTAGGCTGTAGCCCCTGCTGCAGTGGGCTGAGGTAAAGCTACCTTGAGTGGCTGGCAGCCGGCGTGAGCTGCCGTGAGCGGCCAGGATGGCAGGCGAGCCACTGCCTCACCCGGGAAGAGGGTAATGATAACACCAACATGGGCCAGTGAAACGACGTCCTCCACAACTAGACTGAAGAACAAAAGGACAGCAACTTATCTGTTCCCCTTCCCCAATTCCCCAACGCTGTTCCCCTCCCTCAAATCCCTAATAAAATCTTTAATAAAATAAAATAACAATGGGGAAGAGTAAATAGGAAAAAGGATAATTTCCAGAGATTATTTTGTTTACTTTGAGCATTTTTTGATTTGTGGAAGAAACACATTTGATTGCAGACTTTAAAAAAATGTACTTAAAATTATTTTTGCACATTTATTTTTGTAATAGCTTTATTGAGATATAATTCATATACTGTAACAAAATTATTTCAACAAACATTAAAATCATGTACTCTTTACTAGGTAACACATTAAATATTTTGGCATACATCCTTCTAATCTTTTTTCCGTAATAGGTTTTTCTTGGATTATAACATTTCATTGATAAAAAAGAATGTGTATCAAAATACACCCCAAATAATTATTATGTAGAAAACACTTACATTTCTAGCAGTAGCTATCTGGGGAAGGTGAGAGGGGGCTAGGTTTATTGAAGGGGTAGTGGAGGCAAAAGGATATTTTAACTCTATCTGTAATGCTCTAATTTTTATTTAAAAAGTATAGGTTCAGTGTATTACTTAAGTAATTAAACATTAATAAAAAAGTAAAAATCCAAACATAGAGTTGATACATGTATAAAATTATTTTGGAAGGGGATGGTTTTGATAAATGAAAGAGAATTAACATGTGTAGTCTTGGCAGGGAGGGTAATTCCAGGAGCCTTGCCCTGCCAACGTGGCCTCACCCCCTCTCCTTCTACCATCATTTCCTGACTCATGAGTTCCAAAACCATTAACATTGCAACACATGATTAAGAAATGTTGAAATCATCAGTCTTCATCAATTCAGGTAGCCACAGTTTTTTTTATTTTTTATTTTCCTCCAGAAATATGTTCCTGATTATCAACTTCCAGTGACTCTTAAAATAAACAAACCACTACTTAGAGTCAAACAACTTAATTTCACAAACATATATTGAACACGCATATATTTTTAAAATGTTCAGGACCATTTGGAGTTATAGCAACAGATGATACTCCTTTTAGGAGATTAAACTAAGTTGCATAATTGTGTTTATACCTTTAAAATGTGTGCAATTCACCTGGAGTTCGGGGGCTAAGTAGTTTTTTTTCCTTGTGCTGGCATCAGGAACATCAGTTTACTGGGCTCTCGTACACCCATTGTGCATTAACATTAAGATTGCGGGCATGAGGCAAAGTTTACAATATCTCCCCTCACATAATTTTTCTCTATACTAGGCCTATCCCTAATTGGGATGTGACTGGCAGTTCTGAAGCTGGCATCCTACATATACAGCAACCAGAAACAAGAAAGAGCTATATGCACCTGGTTGAAGCATAGACAACTCGAGTAATGAGAAATGCTAACAATGAAATGAGTTGTTGTAGTCATTGTTCTCCTGGTAGCTCCATGTGATGCGTATTCCAGGGCCCCTCCCTGAAGTCCTCACGTCTCCTCCAGGAGCTGCCCTGAGCCACATACACCTTGCTTTCCTTTACCGAGCACATTAGGATAAGAAATAGCATGTCCACCTTTAGGATGCCTAGATAGGTGGTACATACTGTTTTATTATATTGATACATGGAGCTCTTTCCATGAAAAGTGTTTTTTAATATAAGCTGCTCACTCAATAGAGAAATACACTGAACCAGTTTAATATCCAATTAAAAAGGATGTTACAGTAAAATACATCTAAGATTAAAAAAAAAAAGAGCCACAATTCTTTATTAACAATTCTCATATCCAAAACAGCTCTGAAAACAGAAATTTTTTTCCTAAGTTTGGTGACAAAACCTGACCTGACCTGATCTCAGGCTCTTTAGAGTCTTTAGTTATCACACTTATTGGTGTCATTCATATATTCACCACAGATGTATTAGTGAATTTGGTATATTTGGTAATGGGTGTCAACCTTGACTGTTTTGGAGTTTTAAGTAAAATGTTTTATATGTACCCTATTACTTTCCTAAAATCTGAAAGCTTTTATTCCAAACCACAAGTAGCCCTAGGTTTTCACATAAAAGATTGTGAAGCAATATTTTCCAAAACTGTTAATGACATGATGATTCTACCAAACCCAAAGATAGTTCCAATAAATATTTTTGTTCCACAGTACGCCACAAGGATGAATCTCCAGGAAGAGAGCAAAGGCATGTTAGAGCAGCTGCAGGAATAAACTGATGCAGGAATGATTTGGTAAGTGATGTAGCTATAAGACACTGTATAATTAATTACCAGAGGCTATTCACCCATAGAAACAGCATGCAGTACTACTGCTAGTAGTTGTCTGCATAAAAATGAAGTCCCACACCTTTGAAGCTTCTTTCAGGTATAGCTTTAGGATATTCTTATTTAGTAGTTCTGAGCCTGTTTAAACACTAGACTCTCCCAGAGGGCTTTCTAAAAACAGCCTCCCTCTCAGACATTCTGATTTACTTGGTCTAGAAAGGGGCCTTGACAAGTGTTTTTAAAAACTTCCTACATGATTCTAAGGGGCAGCCAGAGGTTTAAAATGTCCCAATACTTAGGTTGTACCCCAGACCAGGTAAATGAGAATCTTTGGGGGTGAAACCCGGACACAAGTATTTTCTTAAAAGATACTTAGGCGATTCCAATGTATATCCAACGTTGCAAAACAATGGTTAAGACCCACTGAGTTGCTTGGCTTAAGGAGTACGGGTGTCAATTTTTCTTTTTCTTCCTTCCTAAATTATATAAGTCAGTTTTAGATCACTGCAGTAGACTCAGCAATAAAAAATTCTAAGCTTTATCCACTCTGATGGTGGCTTACTCATGCAATCTCTCCCCATTTGCTCCAAGAATGCAAGAGGCAGCGATAGAAAGGCATGGAAATCATATGAGAAATATTTTTACATACATTTAGAAAAATAATCCATACCATATCAAATTCCTTTAGCACAGTTCATCATAATGAAGAAAAAAAGATGAAAAGTAGGAGTCACTTTAGTTGCGGCAATAATGTAAAGGAGAGCATAACTTAAAAGGTACATCATAGGAAGCCATAGCATTTTCTAGTGAATTCTAGGATAGCAAATAAAAAAATTATCATTTTCCAGTGACTCCAACTGTTCAGGAGGCCAGAGTAAAGCAGATTCCTATACATATTTTAAAGAAAGCTAGAAAAGACATTATAGAATATTCAATTTGAGATCATTTCTGCTCAGAGATCAACTGACATATGTAGTAAGGTGCATGTTTTTTAGATACAAGCTAGATCTCTTTTGCTTTTACTTTACTTTTTTCATGCATTCTAAAGGTCGTATGAAAAAGATATTTCCTTTTTTTTTCATTACTAACCCTGAGGAAGGAAGAACAGATGTGGAGTGGGCCTCACAGCTCACTAGGAACCAAACTCCACCCTTTCCACAATTGTACATGGCAAAGACTGGAAGAAGTCCAGGATACTACACTTCTTCAGGCTTCCACACACATCTACTTAAACCACTTAAAACAGATATAACATTTGGGTAACTGGCACAGTGGCATTTCTCTGGCACAAGTGAGAACCATTTTAAAATTTTATCACTTTTAGTCTCCACACTGGTTTAAACAAAGAAAACAAAATTTATATTTACCATGTAGGAACTTTCAGTTCAATATCTAGCTTTCAGATCAATACATACCAATATAGAAGGACATTGTAGCTTCACTGCTCAAGAAGTTCCATTCATCAGAAAAAAAAAAAGGGTAAGTTCTATGTATTCTTGTCTTTCCCTAGAGCATGTTAGCTGTTACACGGGAGTAGAGAGGTGGAATTCCATCATTATGATGCGAGGAGCTGGCACTTCCTTTTCCATTACAATTATTCTTCTTAGAATGAAACTTGGGATTGCAGATGTAGCTGAATTTACCACAGTTTTAACCTTTGTAAATGAAATAAAGCTCACTCCCTGGGCCAAAACCCCCAAGCAGCTGTTGGGAGCAAGAGAGCAATAAGGACAGAAGAAAACAGATTCACCGCATTGTTATCAAGAATGGGTTTCCCTGCTATGTACTTCACTTCGTTCACTGGGTTGTTGACAACCATGCCAGTGCTTTCATCCAAACCTAGAGTGGAAAAGAAGCCAGGTGAGGTGGAAAATCCAAATGACTTGATTAAAAAAAAAACCAAGAAGTGGCTTTCTCCTCCGAAGGAAATAATCTTTGAAAGATTCTCAGCCACTTGTAAAATGACTTGAATGAATAATCCATATGGTGAGAGATATGGAATGCTTGATTACAAAAGGCCTCTTTGAGTAAACGGGTTTCAGTACTCCTCAATACTGTTCTCTCAACATTGCTGGAGTTCCTTCAGAAATAGAAGGGAGAATATGAAAAGCAGAGATGGCGTGATACTGACAGGCTGGGCCTGCCTTTCCAGTGGTTCCCCTCCAAGACCAACCTGTGAGGCCCTTGAGAGGAGAGGCCATGTCTGAGTCTCTGCAATGGATACCCAGGACCCAGCGTGATGCTGGCACAAAGGAGGCACACCAAGACTTACTGAATGAATTCAAACGTCCAACAACCCACAATTTTTTTTCAACCCATTCAATATGATCATACACTTGCCTAGTTAGAGTCCAGTTTTGAATAAAACCTAAGCTCTTTAAAAAATATATGTAATGGGTATGGGTGTGTGTGTGTGTGTGTGTGTGTGTGTGGTTACTGACCCTTTAGTGTGAATTAAAATCAGATTGATTCCTCCTTAGCAGCTAGATGAGACTAACGAAACTGAGAGGACAAGCATACTGACTGGTGGGGAGGGGAGCGGAAGGGCAAGTAGATTATCTTGGGGCATGCAGAGAATTGGGAGAACTGTACTCAGGGAAACTTTCTCCAAACTCCCAGCTTTTTCATTGGATGAATCAAAGGAGAAAGGTTGATTAGAATGTGGAGCAAATACACACTTAACAAAATATGTCAGCACACTGACATGACAGGAGAGCCTCAGAAGCAAAGCAATGACAACTTTTTGGAAGACTGACGTTCCCATATATCTTATGTGGGGCTAAAAACTCAGAGGGAGGATAGCAAGCATGATGTCACAGTAGAAAAGCAGGTCATATGTGTACAGTCCGATTAGTACAATAATTATCTCTCAAATGGACTTGGAGAACAAATGGAAGGAGGGTGCATTAAAATGATTTGATCCCAAATGTTCTGCTTTCCTGGGATTTTAGGTGAAGTCCCATTAGCAGAAGCATCTGTTTCCTGCACTGTCATCTCCTCCCCACACAGCTTCTACTCACTGCTCTGCAGGACTAATTCTCTTTCAATTAACTTAACAAAAAATAAGAAAATCAAAACTGTAGAAGAGACTTGGGCCTATCATTCCTGGTTCCTCAATTCCCTGTGTCTTTGGAATTGTTTTCATTGTCATATCTTTTCTTTTTTTTTTTTTTTCCATATTTCTTTCCCATTTCTTTAACACACCAATAAGTTGCAATAATAAGATAATGTTCTTACCAGTAAATTGCATTGTAGCTCCTAAATATGAGTCCACAATTGATCCTAGTAATCCAGCCAGACCCCCAAATGCAATAATTGGCCACTGGGGAGCAGAGATATCCAAATCATTAACAAAAACCAACTGTGTGAGAAAGTAGGCGATGCCCACAAAGGTACCACCGAGGAGACTGGAAACAAGGCCCACCATCGTAACCCCTCCATTGGTCCCTGAAGAAGAAACATGAATAAAACCATATGGTTAAAAATCAGCAAACACATAAAGGCAAGGGAAGCAAAAATTTTTGGTATTTATCCAATCAAGGCTAATTTAAAGAAAGGGTTCTCTCTGATTTAATCCAAAGATTTTAAGACCATAGCCTCAGTGACTGCTGACATTCTCAGCAGTAAAGTATGATGGTTCAGCAGAGCCAGGCTGCCTGGTTTCAATCTCAGTACTGTCACTTCCAAGCTATGTGACTCCAAGTATAGTGAAGTTAGCTAATTTCTCTATGCCTTAGTTTCCTTGTTTGCAAGATGGAAATAACAAAAGAGCCAATTCACATGATTATTAAAATTACTAAATGGTAATCCATGTAGAGCAGTTAGAATAGTGCCTTGCACACAGTAAGTACTCAAATGTTAGCTATCATGATGATGATGACAATGATGAAGAAGAGGAAGAAAAAAAGGAGAAGGGGAGGTGGAGGAGGAAAAAGGAGAGAGACAGAAGAGGAGGAAAAAGAGGAGGGGAGAAGAAGGGGGAGGAGGAGGTGATGACAGACAGAAAAGTAGTAGTAGTAGTTGTTGATGATAATGTTAATGGGGAACTGAGATATATATTAAAGCACTAACCACATAACAGGTCCTCAAAAAACATTCTATCGTTATCTCACTGTCCTTTCCCATTGATTCGTCTGTGAGACATTCTCTATGTTTCTGTATTGTTTATCTAAGATGTGCTAATATTTCCTGCAAATATTACTCATTATTACCAATTTAATAGCCTATAGCAATTTTCTAAACCAGGAGATTAAAGTTATTAACAAAGAAAAACAATAAATCAAGGTTTTTTGGCTTCTTTCTTTTTTAAAGAAACTTAAAGACTTACCAACTGGAACTTTCTCCCAAGTTGTTATTAGCCTCGGTGGGCTTTTACTCAGAACGGTGCCAACTTCTGAGGCCCATGTGTCTCCAGCAGAGCAGGCCAGTGCAGCCAAGAGAGACAAACACATCCAGGAAGCAGTGTGCTGCTTGGAGAAATCTATTGGGATTTCCCCGGGGCCATTTTCTATCATGTACAGTAGGGCCAGCTCTGTGGGTACAGCTCCGTTACAGAACACCTGAATCCAATTCCTCTGTCCACCTAGAAGCAAACAAGTAGATAAAAAGGACAAGAAATGTTTTCTCCTCAGAAGGAAAATCATACAGATTATAGGAACTTATATTAATGCTTAAGAAAAATTACTACAATTTTTAAAAATGACTAAAAATAGGGTAGTACCTTTGTCCACATACTACATTTAGGACAATTAATGATAGACTTTTGTGCTTCTAAAATTTTGCTGTTACTTGCTATTGTGGTGAAGTAATGATAAACAGAAGTAGGCTACTACTTAGAGTAATTCTCATAAAATTTATCTGTTTCAATAGTCTAAACATTTTTTTTTTTAATTGGGGAATTGGGGAAGGGGAACAGCGCTGGGGAATCAGGGGAAGGGGAACAAACAAGTTGCTGTCCTTTTGTTCTTCACTGTAGTTGTGGAGGACGTCACTTCACTGGCCCATGTTGGTATTATCATTGCGCTCTTCCTGGGTGAGGCAGATCGGTCGCCGGCCTCTGGACAGCCGCTCACAGCGGCTCTTGGAAGCTCATACTGGCTGCTGACTGCTCACGCTGGCTGCCGGCCACACACGGTAGCTGCAGACTACGCGATCGCTGGTGACTCATGGCAGCCCAGCTCCAGGTCGAGCTGTTGTTCACCATCTTAGCTGTAGAGGGCAGTGTCACTGGCCCTCACGTGGGATCCAAACCCAGGCCCTGCTGCTCAGAGCTGGCGTCTCAATCCAGCTCGTAACCAATGCACCACTCGGCCGGCCCCTAAACATGTTTTGATTAAAAGCTTATGCTATGTTAGAATGAAATAAAGTAATTCTATTAAATAATGTCAAACGTAATTCATTTTACCTTCTTTGTATTCTGAATCCAGACGCTTCTTTGTTTCTCCCTTCCATTTAGTGAGTTTCGAAGAAGAAAGGAAAAACATCAGCAGAGAGGTAAAAAAGCTGAAATTTGCAATGGTTAGGATAAATCCAACCACTAGCCCTGAAAGAAACACATGTACACACAGAATTATGCTTAGTCCATACATTAATGCTGTGAAAAAAAGAATGGATTTTTCTTGGTTATTTTCACATAACTTTAAATGTACATTTCCAATACATTTCCATTTTTACCAACTAAGACATTACCAAACAGTAAATGGAATGTCAGTTTGATTAAATTGAGATGTATTTTTTACCATATTTTGACCTGCATTTCAACAAATTATGCTATACAAATATAAGATGTTATTTTGGACACACTTTTATAGTCAAGTTGCAAATCACTATATGATTTTATTATTATTAAACAATATGTATTAAAAAACAAAACAAAAAATAAAATAAAATGAAAAACATTAAATAAAAAACAACCAAACAATATGTATTATATATATTATATACAATATTTGGATACATGGCTAATCTGAAGAATTTCCAAATTCACTGTAATTCTCTCAGGGAAGATAAAATTATAAGTTTCTTTGGTTTCTATTTCTTACATTTTCCTCCCATAGCCTGGGATTTATTTTCTAATTTATAAAGAAAATTCAAAATAGACAAGCTTTTTGTGTTTTTCCAAGAATTTTCACATCTCAGTTGTTGAGCCTCACAAACTATGTGAGGAGATATAGCATTTCTTAGCTAAGTTTTCCCACTTAAATCTATGAAAATAATTCTGAATTGCCTTTGGAACTAAAAATGGAATATGTTCTGTGAATGTGATTTTAGATTTTGAGACTTTTCTCTGTTTCTTTTGTTTGGGCAAACAAAGATGAAAGGGGATATCCTTCATTTTTATATGAGCGACCAATTTCAAGAAAGGCTTATAAAACCTAGTTTTCAATCAGGAAAACAAACAAAAGGGAAGCTTACATTTCATGACAGAAAGGGGGGAAAAAAAGGAAAGATGAGTTCTCGCTATCACATAAATACAGAAAGAGGCCATGACATCAACTGCTCAATCAGTCAAACATGCTTAAGACTTAAAGAACTTGCTGTAGGTTGTTTAGTAAGAAATTATAAAGTCTCTCTCTAGGTATTTCTATAAGGAAAGTTCAAACATATGATGTCATATGTTTTTAAATAACCCAGAAATTCCTCAAAGGACTTTTTGTCACAAACTTTGAAAGTTCTTGTCAGTAAAATTTGGTGGCTGAGATAGTGAAGTACCCTTATTTTTATTACCACAATGGTTTTATTTAATTCTACAAAAATTAATTAGAGGATTCTGGGAAGATGGTGGAGTAGGAAGCACCAGGACTCTGTCTTCCGACCCAGATAACAATTGAACTGGAAGAATCTGTCTGATAAAACTATTTTTAAACTCTAGAGTCTATTGAAGGCTTGTAACTTCCAGGGGAAGGTTTGGAAGGGAAGCTGCAGTTAATTTTTGTCAAGTTCAGCTCTTAGCTGGTTAGCAGCATCCAATCTCCCACCCTCAGCCGTGTGGTAGGCAGTGCAGGAGTTGTAGGAGCAGCTTGCACCCAGTTTGTGGAGAAAAGTGGGCAGTAAGCTTTGTTTTCCAAATATCAGGATTTGTATTCTGATCACTGATTGCTACTTCTGATCAGAGAGGTACAGACACAGAGGCTGGCAACTCTTGCACTCCACCCCACACTGTTGCAAGCCCCTCCCTGTCTAGCTGAGAAGACTTCCAAAGGATATAAGGGCTGGACCCAATTCCCCTTCATTTTTCTGTTTTTACTCCTTTTGGGACATTCAAAACCAATTACATTTATGGGGGAAATTGGAAAGTCGCCGGGCATACTCAAGGAAAGGTGTAGGCTCAGAAAAGACTAAGAAGGCCTTAGGTTTACACCTCAGGTGGGTCCTTGGCACAGAGACAGCCTACAACAATCAAAACCAAACCAAAACCAAAACAAAAAAGAGCAAACCCTGAGATCAAAGGGGATTCTGATTTCCAGAGTTACCACATTATTTAATCTAAATGTTCAGTTTTCAACAAAAATATCACACAGCATACAAAGAAACAGGAAAGTAAGGCCCATTCAAAGGAAAAAATAAATGAACAGAGACTGCCACTGAGAAAGGCCAGGTGGTGGGCTCACTAAACAAAGACTTTAAAACGACAGTCTTAGAGATGCTCAAAGGACTAAAGGAGATGTGGAGACAGTCAAGAAAGTAAAGTATGAACAATATGGAAATATGAATAAAAGGATAGAAAACCTAAAAATAAACCAAAAAGAAATACTGGAGCTCAAAAGTGCAATAACAAAAATGAAAAATTCACCAGAAAGTCAAGAGCACATTTGATTAGGCAGAAGAAATAATCAGCAAATTCAAATACAGCACAATGGACATTATAAAGTCTGAAGCACTAAAAGAAAATAGACTGAAGAGTGAAGAGAGCCTGAGGGGCCAGTGGGACACCATCAAGTAGACCAACATACACACGTGGGAATCCCAGAAGGAGAAGAGAGAAGGAGAAGGGGGGAGAGAAATTAATTGAAGAAGTATGGCTAAAAATTTCCCACATTTGATTAAAGACATGAATATAAACATGCAAGAAGCTCAACAAACTCCAAGTAGAATGAATTCAGAGATCCACATTGAGACTCAGTATAATCAAATTATTCAAAGACAAAGAGAGAATCTTTTTTTTTTTTTAAGATTTTATTGGGGAATTGGGGGAGGGGACCAGCCAAGTTGTTGTTCTTCAATCTTCGTTGTGGAGGGCGCCGGTCACTATCTGGCTTCCCGTTGGCAGCTTGTGGCCTCTAAGCTCAAGGTGCTGTTTTACAATCTTAGTTGCAGGTGGACGTAGTCACCATCCCATGTGGGAGTCGAACCCTGCATCCTAGTTGTTAAGAGCGTACGCTCTACCCACTGAGCCATCTGGGCGGCAGCTCAGCTCAAGGTGCCGAGTTCAGTCTTAGTTGCAGGTGCGCGTAGCCCACCATCAAACAGGCAATCTTGTTGTTATACCAGCTGAGCCATCCTGCCACCTACTGGCAGCTCAGTGACAGCTCAGCTTGCAGGCAGCATCACTGGCCCATGTGGGAATCAAACCGGCAGCCCTGTTGCCCAGAGTGCGCACTCTTAAGCCAACTCTTAATCAACTGAGACACTTGGCCAGCCCCAAAGAGAGAATCTTGAAAGTAATAAGACATAAACAACTTGTCACAAAGTATCCTCAATAAGATTATCAGATTTCTTATCAGACACTTTGGAGGCCAGGAGACCCTGAGCTGATACATTCTTTTTTATTTTATTATTATATTTTAAATTAGTTTCAGGTGTACAACACAATGCAACAATTATATTTTTTACCCTTCAAAGTGACACTCTCCCTCCCCCAATCCGCTGCCCCACTCCCCCCCCATATCATATATACCTATTACAATTCCACTGACTCCACTCCCACACTATACTCCACATCCTGTGACTAAATATATATTCAATTATAGTAGACATATAATATTATACAACATCAGCTTCAGGTGTACAGTGCAGTGGTCAAGCCTCTACACTGTCCATGAAGTGGTCTCCTTAACAAGACATATGACCATCTGACACCCTATAAAATATTTACAACCTTATTAATGTTATTCCCTGAACTGTCTTTCATGTCCCTGTGGCATTATTGTAGTTACGTATTTATGCTGTCTAATCCCTTCCCCTTCTCCTGCATCACCACCCCCCTCCCAACTTGGGCTGATATATTCAAAGTGCTAAAAGACAAAAATAATTCAACCAAGAATCCTACATCCAGCCAGACTATTTTTCAAATATGAGGGTAAAATTAAGAAAATTTTAATATGTTATTGATGTTATGCTGGCAAAAATTCATATTAGAGTGTTATAGCTTTAGGATATTTGTAGCCTTGTAACTGACCAGCCAACTGCTCCCACGCGCTGATCCCGTGAAGTCATAAGGAAGTGTCTCAGAATGCTGAGACCTGAGGGAATGATCTCGGTGAAACTTCCTTATCTGATGGTCTCGGAATGCTGAGTCCATCTCCTGGGGTCGTGTGTGTGTGTGTGTGTGTGTGTGTGTGTGTGTGTGTGTGTAGGCACAATAAGTACTGGAGCACACTGGAGCATCTGGAAGACAGTTGCTAGGTACACAGACTTAACAGATTGGAATTTATTGCCTTGTAAAGTTAGAGAATAAAAGCTTTGCAACAGCCTGATTCGGGGCTCAGTCCTAGAGGCTTGAGAACCCTGGCCCGCATGAACTCAATGCTTGGCTCTTGTATTTCTTAACCCTGCGCCGCCCATCCCTCTTGCACTCCCCAGCCATTGTCGCGCTGGACACGACAGATATTAAATGTAATTCTCATGGTAATCACAAAGAAAATAGCTCAAGAAGGAAGAGGAGGGACTCCACGGAAAGATGGGATTACTCTCGGTTTTGAGCAAATTGAAAAGTGCACCAGAACAGGAGGTGAAACTCCTTCTCCTGGGCTTGGATAATGCTGACAAGACTACTCCTCTGAAGCAACTTGTATCTGATGACATCAGCCACATCACACCTACACAGGGTTTTAACATCAAACGTGTACAATCACAAGATTTTCAACTGAATGTATGGAACACTGGTGGACAGAGAAAAATCAGACCATTATGGAGGAACTATTTTAAAAACATTGATATTCTTATATATGTAATTGACAGTGCAGACAGAAAAGATTTGAAGAGCTGGATCAGGAACTAGCTGAATTACTGGAGGAAGAAAAGCTAAGTTGTGTGCCAGTGCTCATCTTTGCTAATAAGCAGGATTTGCTCACGGCAGACTCTGCCTCTGAAATTGCAGGAGTGAACCTGCACACCATCCACGACCGAGTATGGCAGTTCCAGTCTTGCTCAGCTCTCACAGGAGAGGGCATTTAGTTTGGCATAAACTGGATCTGCAAAAATGTCATTGCAAAGAAGAAATAAAATCTAGATGAATCGGAGACACAGGAGCTGCAGGAGCTGAATTCTGTCCTGAAAAACACTAATTTGCTGCTTTCTGACCAAATGTTTTTTCATCTGTGT